CAATGTTTGGCATGACGGACTTGTGTACAAGCTTTGTAACTTCAACTTCCCATTACATCTGGTTAAAATCACCCGTAACTACCTTCAGCAAAGGTCGTTTAAGGTATCGTTGAATGGTTGCCTTTCCGACACGTTTTCCATCCCAGCAGGAGTCCCGCAAGGCAGTCTGCTGGGCCCCTTGCTTTACAGCATTTACACTTCCGACATTCCTCCCCTTGGAGACGGTTGCGTGTTTTTCCTGTTCGCAGATGATACCGCAATAGCCGTCAAAGGAAGGATGCCTCGCGAAATAACGAACAAACTTCAACGATGCCTTAACGCCTTTGCTGATTATGCCACCATGTGGAAAATCAAAATCAATGCCTCCAAAACACAAGCGATCATGTTCCTCCATCGGCAATCGCCCAAACTGAAACCGGCTCCATCTTGTACTGTAATCATGGATGGCACAAGGGCTGAGTGGTCCGCCGAAGTAACCTATCTCGGGATGTTGTTTGATGAAAAGCTCCTCTTCCGTTCGCATGTAGAGAAAACAGTAGTCAAGTGTTCTGCCTTGGTTAGGTGTCTGTATCCGCTGATTTGCCGCAGATCTCGCCTCTCAAGGGTAAACAAACTGGCCGTCTACAAACAAATCATAGCACCTGCGATCCTCTACGCAGCTCCGGTGTGGGAATCATGTGCACAGACTCACAAGAACAAAATTCAGGTCGCACAAAATAGAGTGCTGAGGATGGTTCTTGATCGTCCTTTCGACACTAGAATAACAAATTTACACGAAGAGGCAGGAATTGCCAAAATAGATTCAAGAATTAACGAAATTAAGACTAAATTTGCAGAAAAATGTAATTTATCAGAACATGCTTTGATAAGCAACTTGTATATAGTAGGTTAGGTGCATATAGTAGTTGTAGGTTAGTTGTAGTTGTAAATAGTAGTTATAAGTAGTCTCCTTTTTCCAATTCAAATCAAACCAATCCCACCAAGGTGGTCATACTTTAAAATAGGCCTGATAGGACTAGTAACTGTAAATAATAATTAAAATCTCAAATGAACTAAAGTTGAAAAGACGCATCTGTGTCACTTGAAAAAATTCATAAATGTAAACCACACAAACACAAGAAATAAAGATCATTTTAAGTAGTAAAATAAAGTTCGTAGGTTACTCCAGATTCTTCATTTTTGAATCCGAAAGAACTTTCGGCCTAGAAGCGAAACCTTTTCTTCTTAACCGGAGAAAAAAGTAGCTGCTAGAATCAAAAATCGGTGTCTGAACCAAAAAGCGAAAGACTCTCTCTAACGGGAGAAGAAAGTAGCTTTTGTCCGTGACAATATAAGAATTTAATTTATTAATAATCCTCCTGAAGTGATTATTACACGCGTTACCTGCAAACTATCTCAATGCAATCGTTCAAGACGAAGTAGACTTGTTGCCAAAAACGGAACATGCGGAATGTGCTGAAATCGGAACGTCCAAAAAACGGAGCACTACTGTAATGCACAACTGTGCAAAACAAATGTTAAAGAAGTTGAATCTAGAACCGTACTACCGTTCATATACTAGCAACAACGCTCTGATGAGACAACGAAATCACACCCCAAGCCTCAATGTACCCCTATAGCCACGGGTATGCCGCGAGTATTCGGCCCAACTCCTATTAGACTCCAAAAAATGAACAATGAATTATCGACTCCGTAAAGCTAATGATCAAGCCTTTCTCACGCAAAAAAAAAACCGTTCCGATATTCGTGAACAAAAAATCACGATAATCTGAACAACTAGTTCTTTCGAATTTATGACTTAGTTCGCATAAACGTGAACGTGACGTTTATTTTGCGGACAACGTTCACGATTTCATGATTTTTATTCATGGTGTACTTTCGTAAACGAAAAATTTGACCGATAAAAACAAAATCTTTCTTTTACAAGCGAGGTAAGAAGGACCACCAATAGGGTAAGACGGACCATGATGGATTTGTTCCGTCCAATTTTATGCAATGGTGCCTCATGAATGGTACTATGGGCACAACTAGTGCCTCATGAATGGTACTATGGGCACATAGATCATAAATGAATATCTTTGGAATCGGTCATCGGTTCCATAGATATGGCCGGAACAGGTTCCAGTGACCATAAGTACAGATCTAGAAGTGATCAAAAATGATACAAACCTATATTGTGAAACAAAAAATCGCAAGATGATTAGAAAATATGTTCAATGTGAGTCATATTCTGATTCTACACCCTGACATGTTCCGGGTACAACCGGGGAAGTGGTCAAAATCATATTAAATCGAAATCCATCATCAAATCACATGAGAACTCTAAAAAAATTAAATTGAGTATGGTGGACCACACTCACGGACATGTTCCGGATATCACCCGGAAGCAAAACAAAATTTATTTTATTTTGGGAATATAAATTAATAAGAATAGTCACATCTCACCATATATGTATAAATGAATCCAGGTATTTATTCTTGGATATAGCTAAGAGAAACGAATGTCACTTACTACTTGATCTGGAAAACATCAATTCAGTTTTAAACAAAGTCACTACGCGAAAAAGAAGGGTGACGCTTTTACCCCGTTAAAAGTGATCCGTCTTACCCCTGGTTTACATTTTTCACAATATGGTATATTTTCACATGTTTCATGCATTTTTACATAACTTTATCTACCGCCACAGAAGCAGTACAACATACTGAAGGAAACAGGTACCAACAAACGTAAGAAAACATCGTTTGTTCATCAAAAAGTATCATACTTGTTGATTTCAAAATTAGATCCTGAGAGCCTCATCGAACAAGTAGTTTGCTTTTATTTATTGTTTTGAAGCTTCATAAGTTTGGGTACTACTAGGTGTTTCAGAATGATAAAAACATGTTGTTAATCTTTTCTGTATTGAGTATTGGTAAGAATCTTGAGATTTTCATATAGAACTAGCTGTGGTCCCTCTTACCCAGCCGAACGATCTTAGCGCGTCTTCCCCTAACAAGCTAAATGAAACCAAAAATGAACCCCAAATGAAACCAATACTCTGGAGAAACGAAGCCTCCAACAAATCACAATCACCACGTCGTATCCACTATGTGACGTCAAGTCAACGATGGGACACCAATCCGGAGCGGAATCCAGACTGACGCGTACCTTGCCTGTCCCTCATCATCCGTCAAGCTACGACCCTAATATGCTTGTATGGTTATTTTGATTAACGACGTGTTCGGAGTATCATCCAAATCATTTGTGAAATAGTTCTATAATTTGGGTTATCGTTCGTTTATGGTATTTTTTGATTAGGAGAACGACCAAGAAGTTACAACTCCGGAACGTAATCCGGACCGCATTGAACCTGCGGGACCGCTTCATCGGAGCGTAATGCACGATTGCCATTCCACATTCTGCTGAATCGCAAACATGCTAGCCAAACAATCGTACACCAACTTGCAACATCCTTACCGCCACTTCAGACTCCGCTGGACCGCAAGCTACCTGCGCGGACATTGCGATATTTGATGGACAGACAGATCAAAGACCACCAACTAGTACCCAGGGTCCAGACACGGATCGCCTACAGCTTCTGCTTAGCCAAACCGGACAGCGCTGTACGAGCAAACCCCTTCAGTTCAGACTTAGACAGCCAGCAACGCTTGCACGACCTACCCAAGCAACCTCATGTACAATGACATGGAGGATTCCACACAAAGACGAAGATGAATTACCATTACAGAAATGATCCAGTCACCACGAAGAAGAACAGCAACTAAGTTGAATCCCGAAGAGATTCAAGGCGGGGAGTATATTCACGCTGAACGTGAACCGTATTTCGCTGCAATTATTTTGACCACCATGACAATCCTCCTCAACCCAGAGTGTCGTTTAATTCGAGGTATCTCGGCTGTAGCACCGGCACAGTGCACAGCTGATCGCAGTCTAGACGGTGCGAAACAATAGTTTTCTCGTCTCGGATAGTTCTACGCATTTTCGCACCAGACTAAACCGGCTGTGTAACCATCTACGGCAGCAGCTCATTGTTCCTCCATAAGCCAGATGATCTCAGAATATCCTTTGTCTATCCCACTCTTTCCTTCATACTTCCAACGTAGCAGCAGCAGCATCAGCATTAGAACCGAACAGTTAGTTTGTTGACAGGCGAAGCAAACGGTCCTCTTCTGCACAGACAGACTCCGGGTAACGCGCGCGATCGCTCACCCTGTCGCACCTGTTTTCCAAAAAGTGGTGATGGGTGCAGTTGATATACTACAAATGTTTGTAAATATTGTAAAAACACTTGAACTATTGACGTTATTTAATGTATTTTTCGTCTTGCATTTATCGAAAATGAAATTCACTATCAGTGACACTGTTCACGAATAGAATCCTCGCGTGATTATTTCTAATTACCCTTTCGTGTTAACTGCATCCCGGGTCCTGAGTATCGGCCAATCTATCCTGGCGTCAATAGAGACATTTCTTTATAAAATCCGTAAGTAGCAAATTAACGACAAATCAAGAAATGATTAATAATGTTAGGAGTAAATATTAAAAAATATATATCTTAGATTTTTATTCCCCGATTCAGAATTATGAGGCTCAGGTTTTTATTTACCTGGATGACATAGTCGTCACCTTTGAAACGTTAGAAGAACACTTGAAATTATTGAAAATGGTAGCGGAAAGACTGAGTAGAGCAAACTTGTCAATAAGTGTGGAAAAGTCTTAAAAAATCCATAAACGTATTTCCTATTTAGCATATATTTTGTCAGAGATCGATAGATAGTTCAAAACTAGAACCGATTCTTAGCTATCCCTCGCCAACAACGTTAAAAGAAGCATGAAGATTGATGGGAATCGTAGGTTCTACAAGCAACTTAAACAAAACTACAGTACCGTCCTGGCACTAATCACGAACCTAATAAAAAAAAAGTTGACAACTAAACTTATTGGGCCTGAAGAGGCAGACAAAGCATTTAATGAAATAAAAAGTGTACTCACTTTTCCACCAATCCTGAAAAATCCAGATTTCAATAGAATCTGATGCTTCCTTAGTGACCTCATTCTTTTCAAATTTGTTTCATCAGCTCAGAAGAAGTATTCTGCAACGGGACGATAATGCCTGGCTGTCAATTTGGCCATTGAAAAATTGCGCCATTACGTAGAGGGTACTCATTTATCACCGGACGCGCAATCCTTGAAATAGTTTAATTAAGTAAGCGTTGAGGGCAACTCAGCACGACTTGTTCCATGGGTCCTTAAACTGCAGCAGCATGATATAGTTCTAGAATACACAAAGGGAAATTAAATATTTTAGCACACGCGTTATCAAGAGCAGTAAATGAGGTAGATGTACTTACGGTGGACTTGAACATCAAAGTCAATTCTGCAAGTCAGCTGCACTTCAAAAGATCCTCGTTTTGAGTTGATATGCCGCCAAAAGCTGATCCTATTCAGATCCTCGACGACGAGCACAGTGTAACCCACTTTGGGTACTACAAAACGATGAGGGAAATCCGGGAAAAGCACTATTGGCCGCGTATGTGTGAGGAACTACAAAACGGCGAAACATCCACCTCAAATTGGGTCGTCCGAAGATAGCGTCGATGCCTTGGCAAGTTGTGTCCATCGACTATATGGGTCCATTCCCACGGTCCAAAAAAGTGAGTCGGGCTTTGGTGCAGCGATCAGAACGTACCTAAAAGAAAAAAAAAACAAACAGATCAGGATGAGAACCTACAGAAAATGCTTTATTTTTGTCAATTATGGAAGGAACTATATTAGCTCCGGAGACAAATAATCAAGAATGAACGAATTTGGAGAGAATGTGAATAATGAACCAAAGGAATTAAGTGATGAACAAAAGGAAATCTTGGAAAAAGCATACGAAAAATACGGGAAGTATTATAATTTGAGATCCACTGTAGAACCTATCGAATTTAAGGTGGGGAAACTGTATTGAAGAAAAACTATTTCCTTTCCAATAAAGCAAAAACTTTCAACGCAAAGCTGACAGACACGTATTCTCCTGCAAACACTATTATTCCTAAACTAGGTTCGAATTGTTATAAACTGGAGGATGTAAACGGACACAAACTAGGATTGCACAGATCAGCTGATCAGCAACATCCGGAATTAAAACGACTAAATCCTCATCACATTTTAACCACTAGGAATTCCGGCTGATTTGTAGATTCTAATAAGTACTCACCAGCAAGCACACTCCTGGTAAAAAATCACCTGACCTGTACAAGGAAGACCTCAACCATCCTACACCATTGTCCTTTACATTTTTATCAGTGTATGATGCGTCGTGAAAAAAGTTGACATTTCTATGAAGAAGAAAACATGCACGCCTACGTTGATCAAATTTTCCGATTTTCACGATTTTCACCCACTGCGCATCCCTTCCATAGTCGCTACCATAGCAACACCCTCGTAACCAAATTTTCACACGCCAGAAGTCTATATAAGGAAGCCTGCTGCTAAAAATCGTTAAGAGGCTTCTGAGGTGAATTCAAAGCGGACGTACGTTTGATAGCTCTCCCAATTTCTCCAATCAAGGCGGTTCAAGAAAAAATGTTTCCCAGTAAGATGAAAAATGGCCGCGATGCTCGGCAGACCCGGTCCAGTCGGAATGTTAGACCGGTGTCTTTGCCGGATTTCATGCGTGCCGACCCGGATGGTAAGCTAACGGCCATTTACCAGCGTATAAAAGCGGCTTCTTCAAAGCCGAAGCTGCCAAAAAGGCAGGATCGCTGGGAAATGCTTAAAAACTTACCGGTAACCGATGAGTATGACAATGTAAGGTCATCGGTCGGTGAGTATATCCGGGGGCCGTTTTTAGCATCTACTAGGAAACTAATGATTGGTGAGGGATTTGAGAGGAGCGGAATTACCCAGAATGCCTCAATCGCGGATAATGTTAAGGAAGATTTAGGTGATAATTGTGAGAGAGTAGGGTTAGAAATAAATGATGAATTAGGAGATAAGGTGGAAGAAAAGAAACTAAATTTTTGTGAGGAATTTAGGTGCAACAGAGCCGATGTAGATTCGGTTCTGACAGCAGGAATAGCCAGGGTACAGCAATGTACGACAACGGTAGCAGTGTTTGAAGCATACGCCAAGACACACCATGAACTTTTGGAGCGTGTGACGTATGTAGCGGACACTGCTAACGTTTATACGCAAACTACTTCTCCCAAACTGCAGCGTACTCAGTTGAATTTTGTGTATGCTGGATTTTGGGAGCACTGTACCCTGCGAGAAAATACAGGCATGCAAACCGAGGATGATCAAAATTTGACAGTTTCAAAGCAGCCTACTGTGCTGCTTGAAAAAATTTCCAGTGGGCCCAACCCAAATTTGGTAAAGAGAATGTTTAGCTGGAAATGTTTAGGATTGACTTTTTTGGTTTCGGCCATGGCCCTCGGTTTAATGGAAATTTCAAATTTCGTCTAGTAGTTTGGTATTCTTTTTTGTTATCAGATCGAGCTCACTGGTGGTCCAACGAATTTCATTAAAATTTCTTAGCTTCTCCGAGGTTTCCTGACGAGTAAAGGTGTTGTAGCCGGGTACTAATGAATACCTCGAGCTACCATTTTTACTACGAAGATTCCTCGGAACCCATTGACACCGGATAGGGACTTTTTGGTGAATAAAATTCGTTTAGGAACCGTGCTTTCGAGCAAACCAATCGATGTGGCAGAATGCTATCATCGAAGATCTTTTTGTTTATGGAGTTCGAAGGACCACTACCGTGAGCTCGATCGTTGCATTTCAGAGTAGTAGTGATAGGGTTTAGATATAGTACCATATTTGTAGAAAAAAAAAAATCAGTTAGATTGATAGGAGCTAGGGCAGGAGCACATATGTGATTGGCAGGGAATGTGGTGGGAGTTTAAAGGTACTGAAAAGTCAACCCTTTTGATGATTCAGTCCGCATCGTGCTCTCTTGCCGTGCGGATCTATTTGCTTTTTGCTGAAGGAAGTGTTACTACTACCTAAAGCTACAACAAATTTAAACAGCACTTTTCAGTGCTCAACCTGTAAAAAATTTCTACCTTGTTCAACTCTTATTCCTCTTCGATCCTTGTTTGGACCCTACCCGAGGTAATCCTTCTTGGATATCGATTTGGAAAATTCCTCTTCGATCCTTCAGATTCTTATAGTAATCTGCTTGGAAGTCGATTTGGATAAAAATTTACTGCCGCCATGGCGCCTAAACGCAAAAGAAAGGGGCAAACTCTTGACCCCCCTTCTGATGAAATTAATTTGAGTAATCAATTTGATTTGCTCACGGATGATGAGAATGATCCATCATCCAAGAAAAATTCTAGTAAACTTTCCCGGCTTAATGCCAAGAAGGAAAAGATTCCCCCTATTGTGATAACCACTACCGATTTCCATGCTCTTCGCATGGAACTTTTGAATTTCGTGAAAGTTAAGTTTTCACTACAAATTGGACGTCGGGGTGAATGCCGTGTATTGGCTGAAACCTTGGACGGATTTAAATGTCTTCTCAAGTATCTTACTGAGAAGAAGCACAAATTTTTTACTTACGACACCAAAACTGAACGTGTGTTCAAGGTTGTCATGAAAGGACTGCCCAGTGGTGAATCCCTGGATCAGATCAAAGATGAACTGGCAAAATTACTTGGAGTTGTGCCACTCCAAGTAATCAAAATGAAAATGAAATCCCGTCCTGGCGATTCGCGCAACGGGATTTCTAATGATTTTTATTTAGTTCACTTCAAGTCTAGTGAACTAAACAACCTTAAGGCCTTAGAAAAAGCTAGCCTTATGCTCCATGTCCGAGTGAAGTGGGAACACTTCAGGAAGACTGGAGGAAATTTCCAAAACCTCACCCAGTGCCGTAAGTGCCAGGGATGGGGTCACGGAACTAAAAATTGCTACATGCCAGCTAAATGCATGAATTGTGGTGATTCCTCTCACGCAAAGGACGACTGTCCTGTGAAGGAAGATCCTAAGAAATTTAAATGTTCAAATTGTGGTGAAAACCACAAATCCAATTTTTGGGAATGTAAGACTCGCAAAGCGATCCTACAATCTCGTTCTAACCGTCAGGTAGGAAACGCTCCACGTTTCCGACCAGGTACAAATTCCTCTGCTGTTAACAACGGTCAGCGAGGAACAAATTCTACATTCGTACCCGTAGGTACAAATATCTCCCCTGCTTCAAATGTTTCATCTGTACCTACTCCCCTCGCTGCTAACAATGTTCAGCGAGTTAATGGAGCTACCTATGCTGCTATTGCAGCGGGTAGAAATCAAAATACTAACCAACGTTCTAATGGAAATTTTGACAATTTTGACTTAGGAAGCATTACTGCCCCCAAAATGGAATTTTTACAGAATTCATTAATTGACATGATTTCTGATATGCTTAAATCTAACTCCATGTTTGATGCTATTCAAACTGCAGTAAAATTTGCAAATAATATTGTCATGACTTTAAAATTCAGTAATGGATTTTAAAGCATTAAATATTGTAAATTGGAATGCTCGATCTCTTAAAGATAATGAAGACGAGCTATTTAACTTTTTAAGAGTTCATAACGTGCATATTGCCGTTATAACTGAAACGTTCCTTAAACCTGCCCATAAGGTTAAGAAGGACGCAAATTACTTGATTTATAGAAATGATCGTCTTGATGGACCCTGTGGTGGCGTTGCCATCATTATTCATAGACGAATCAAACATAAAATTCTTTCTTCATTTGAAACCAAAGTTTTTGAAACTTTGGGGGTTTCTGTTGAAACAAAATTTGGACAACTTACGTTTATAGCTGCCTATTTGCCATTCCAATGCGTAGGCCAGCAAAAGAATTTTCTCAAGGGTGACCTCCAGATACTTACCCGTCATAGGTCTAAATTCTTCATTATTGGTGATTTTAATGCAAAACACCGCTCATGGAATAATGCTCAAAGCAATTCCAATGGTAATATTCTGTTTGATGATTGTTCTGCAGGTTATTACACTATTCAATATCCAAACAGCCCAACATGCTTTTCTTCTGCAAGAAATCCCTCCACTATTGATTTGGTCTTAACTGATTCATGTCAACTTTGTAGCCAATTGGTTACCCATGCTGACTTCGGTTCTGATCACCTTCCAGTAACTTTTGAAATATCCCAAGAAATAATTGTAATCTCAACAGCTCTACTTTCAACTACCATAGAGCTGATTGGGAGCAATATCGAACATTTATGGAATATAACTTCGATCCAAACATTCCTTTGCAAACCAAAGATGAAATTAATTATGCTCTTGAATCTCTGACTACTTCTATAGTTGAAGCAAGAGCTGCCTCAGTACCAAAATGCGAGGTTAAATTCGATTCAATTATAATAGACGATGATCTTCAGCTCTTGATCCGTCTTAAAAATGTCCGTAGGAGACAATATCAAAGAACACGCGATCCTGCCATGAAAGTTATCTGGCGGGATTTGCAAAAACAAATTAAAAAGCGATTCTCTGCCCTGAGGAACAAAACTTTTGAAAATAATATTTCTAAATTAGACCCGAGTTCCAAACCCTTTTGGAAACTCACAAAAATTTTGAAAAAACCTCAAAAGCCTATTCCAGCGCTTAAAGAAGGTGGTAAAATTTTGATCACAAATTTGGAAAAAGCTCAGAAACTTGCTAAGCAATTCGAGAGTTCCCATAATTTCAGT